CATCTTTCTTTTTGGTAAATTATTTACCAGCAGATGACTATCACCATAATCTAAGGAAACTTTGTTGTAGTCAATTTCAAAAATTTAAACAGTGACGAAAGATGTTGCCATCTAGATTTGAACAGTGAAAATGTGTCACTGTGGGGTAAGACAAAAATTTGTATAATGGATGTCTTCTGYTGTATGAGCATAGACCACGTTTCTCTTGATTTCTGAAGGATCATACTAATCACCCTAGATGAATTAGTAAAAATGATGCAATTTTGAAACTGATGAAGCTATGGAAAAATTATAATCATGGAGAGGAAATCCTTGAAAAGGTGTTTGTATYTGTCTTGTTTGACTGCTCCATTTCCTACSATCCCACTTCCGAAGAGGATTTTGAAATATCCGCAAGTATTTTGTGCAAACAGGATGGCGGGTGTTTCCTCAATGATTGGTTTGAAGGACTAAATACTTTGTGATCAAAAGAACTTCCGTCAACGATTGGTGATGCCCGCGGCTTTCGTTGAAAATTTGCAATCATCTGAAAAAAATGCCGATGATTCGATGTTCCAATACTACTRGTATCGCCAGAGCTACTATCTATGATGGTCACAGTCCTCTTGCCGGTACCGGAATACGTTTTCGTTCGACTTTCAGTCGAGTGCTTCCCAAGAGTAAATTCAAATAAGGAAACACTTTGTTTATCCATAAAATCAGCCAATGATCTTTCAAGAATATCCGATACGATGTAATGCTGAATGGTTTTATTGCTATCGTCTTGGTCTGCGTACCCATCTGTTGTGATCTGGAATAATAGGTGCTGAATGGCGTAGTATAGTATAGGGTGTTCTGGCGACACGGCCATGATATTTGTATTGATCCCTCCCCAAGAATTGCGAAGATTGTTGCTGTCGCCTTTGTCTTTGTCCGATGCAATGAAAAATACCGCATCGTTGCGGTTGTMGTCTATGATTGTGTTCATGTTGTCACCATAAGATTCMGTCGGTGGCGGTGCGTATTCCAAGTCTACAAACATACCACCGTAGATATACAAACAAACAAAGCGCCACAGGAGTCCTCTAATGAAGGATCTATTTTTGATGCAAGTCCTGAGTATTTGTCCAAGGTGAGGAAAATCATCGCTAATGATCAATGGAGATCCGTGCCGCCGTGTATTGGGCCCTGCAKCGCCCTGCCGAACTGCAATTGCAGCTCGAAAGAGCCTTGCCATTGCATCCTCTGTGTGAAAGTATATGGACCATTCATCGCCCTCGTTATCACCATTTCCGTCTCTGTCGTCCATCAGTAGGTGCTGCTTCCACTGTTGGTTGAGATYGTAAAGCCTAGAAGGAACACATCTCGATCTCCCATGTTGATGCATAATCTTGGGTATCTTCCGCTGTCGACTGGCCGGCGCACTCATTTCTGGACCAGACGACGTAGAAGTCGTAGTAGTGGAACCGAGATGATGATAACCTATTATACTCTTCGTTCCCCTGACAGAACAATGCGTTGAGTCCATGTCCTTTACGCGGAAGGGTTGGGTGATGCTTTCCAATGATGCCTTTGTCGTTGTTGTTGTCGACGACAAATATTCCTTTRAACCCTTGTCTTCCGCTTTCGTTTTGATTATAGTCGTGATCGCAACATGCTCCACATCGAGATAGGAAGAGAGCGAGTTATTTCCAAAGGGGAGGAAAAGAATCCGCTCTAACAGGAGGTAGACCAAGGGAGAAAACGCAACACAACGAATYAATATGCGTTTCCTTCTGAATCGCTGCTTTGCTTTTTCGTCCGCGGGAATGATAATTCTTGATCGCTTTGCTGGCAACATCGGATCTAGATCTTAATATGATATTCAATCTACTGTACGATCCMACTCCAACTATTTGGTTTTGTGGGTTGAGTTTCAATTTCAACTGCTCCCGATGTCTGGGTGAATCATCCCAGATGTATCGTCCTGTTTGTTGCAGTTTGAATCTTACTAGTATTATTAGTTGCTTTCGCGCAATGCTTGTTGCTTCAGTCGTTGCCTTGYTGATTCTCTGTTGTATTTCCTTTCCTTTTCAAATGTCAGTGTCCACAACAGTAATGTTAAATTTCTGCTTTCATTATGAGATCATTCAACGTTATTAGTGTCTACAATCTTTTGATGTGCGGCTTTACAATTACTATTCTCCCTCCCCTCGAAGTTAATGTTTGTTAATGACTTGCGCGACCGAAAACGTATCGCATTTTTTTCGTGTTCGTCACCGAATTTTTCCCGCTCCTTTCTGTACGGACATCAAATCCCTATTCCCTTCTCTTCTAATCAACGAGCGTCTCCAACGGGGAATAGAATAGAATTAGAATCATACGGTACAGTCATACGGTATATTATGTATTTTCTATTTTAAACGATTTTCGATTTTAAACGATATGAGTTATCTTCTTGTTCAAGCACCTTTTTGATCTGAACGCCGCGGTCGACTATCAACAAATTTCCTAACGTCAAGCGATAAATCATATCCACTACCAACACAACTACTTGCCTGTAGGCATTATTTCTTGCAGCTTAGGCGCAATATACCGATCGAACCGCAACGGCATTGTAAGCTGGGGGTTGTGTATTCCAGTACTTCGCAGCAACAAAAATTATTGGAGAGATCCAAATAATCTGGTATTRTTTCTCGTTCGCCAACAAAATTTTGGTATTGGAACGAAAGAGGACAGCGATGAATCGATAAGATGTCGACGGTACATTCGAGCCCGATGGCGAAGTCATCAGTGCCACAACGACGGGATCGCCCAACAACGAATGGCATGAGTAGAGGCAGCAACCTCAAGACGAATAGACAACAACCAGCAATGCAATACCCAAAAACACAAAGCCAGCAACCGCAACGCAATTCCCCGCGCCAGAAATTCCATAGCCAAGTGAGACCGTTGAAGCAAGGACGAAGTACAAATAGGAGACCAAGAATCAATGCAGCAGGTAGAACGAATCGCTACCGATCGCGAGCGAACATGAGCATGGATACTATACCGGAGGAAAACCCGAAAAGGAAAAAGAAGAAATACCGAAAGAAGAAAGTTTTGAGGGCGTGGGTCCTTCCAGCAGTATTTTTAAGTTGTCTTTGTATCATTTGGTTGGAGCATTACATTGGAAAGCTCATAGGGCTCGAGGACTTCCGAGAGGTCTACCAGGATCAGCTTATTGATCCTTTGGACAGACTAGCACAGGATTTGGATGTCTTGCGAGCGCAAGAAACGAGTATTATCGGGAATCCCATTTCCACCAGAGTCGTTGCTAATATTTCGTTCACACCTCGGGATGGAAATTGTCCGAAGGGACAACGAAGAATGATCAACATCCATAATCCCATGTCGCATTCTGTTCGCGGGAGACTCATTCCCAAGATAGTACACCAGCAGGCGAAAACTAGGTGTCTGACAATGCGAGTCGATCGAGCCACGATCAAGTGGGCCTTCCGACGGGTAAGAATAAAAATGCATATATCGATTCTTCGCCTATCGTCGTATGAAACTACGTCTCAAGTGGATGCTCTGTTTTGCTTTTGTAGATGTATTAAGCTCACAGTTCCGAACCTACCTATTCTTCGATACCCTTGTGTTGATAGTGGAGCTACTACATCCACGACGAAGAGTCTAGAAGTCGATTGTTCGAGAGGCATTGCGGGAGCTCATCGCGGAAATGCGAGTTTCCGCTTTTGAAACAGATTATTTCCGATTGTTTCGAGAAGAATCGAGAGCGGCCCCGATACCGTTCCTTGAGTATCGAACTATGGAAATTCCTCATTGTAAGTCCATTGATTGTTGTTCCGAGAAGAGAATGAATGTTGCCGTTCCTCCTTTTTTATATTTATCTGTGTTTCGTTTGTTGTTTTTCGTATGATTCTTTTTATTCCCAACGCACCAAACTAGCTATGGGTTTTTGGCGGTGTYTATGTCGAGCTAGGCTTCAATCCCGTGACGTTTACTCCATTAACCATCCAGGACGAGGACGACGGATTCCTTATGATCGACCCGCACACGGGAAAGCTGACTACGAAGATAATGGCTGTGTCACCAAAACACCCGATMATGTATTATGCCGTTCAAATCCTCTTGCTGATGATCCTCTTGGGAGAATCATCGTCGTCGTCGCCATCGTCRTCTTTTCTCGCAGGGACCACAATCGACAACGCTGGTTCACACGCACTCAGTCGAGCCTTTCGGATGTTTCAGGAAGGGCGAGAGGAAGAAATAGGCCGCGATACGTATTTTTTCCCCGGAGTGTTCGAGGGTGTTTTCAACCGCACAGTTCGTGTGGTGGTTGGCAACGGGATCAATACCTTCAATACAACTGATGGAAGCARCAAACCAAACAACGATGATTATGTGGTCTCGATATTCCGCAGCGACGAYGAAAAAGAACGAGAGTTTAGAAAAATGGGAATGATGGATGTTGCAGAAGCGAACAAMGACGAAGAKGACTCGGCGGAATTGTTGCCATGTCTTGTCGAGCTGCACCGTACACCAGACATTTCTCTCMTATGAATCAAACTAGTGAACGGATACTTAYTCTTGAGCTTATGGCGCTTGCTACTAGTGCTAGAATTTTAGTACTTCTAYTAGACTWTATGGTATTTTTTACTTGCTTCATTGGTTCCTTTTCGTCCTCGGTCAMAGRAGYTGATTCAGGCCGAAGCAACAGAGTTTGCTGTGTTCCGAAATGAGATACAAGAAGAACAAACACTCTGATAGAAGTATTGTCTAAGAAGTTGTCAATRCCATCAGCTTTGTCCCGGACAAAACAAAAGCAATTTGGTATTATTGATATTATTGATCCAGAAGGATTCTGTCTTTGCCAATGGTCTAGGAATGATTGCACCGGCRTTAGTAGAAGCATTAGCAGTTTTATCGTTTACTATAGTATGATAGAGTTAGGGTGATCCACAAATTATGTGACTAGCTTAGGAACTACCTAGTAGTACTAGTATTGAACAGATGACTGTACTAGTAGTTGCCAWGCATAGTCTATGTACTACTAGTACTAGTAGTATGAAATAAAAGTGAATGGATACTATCCTACAGCAGCAGAGTTCAGAGCACTGAAGAAGAGGAAGTGCAAACTGTAGCAGGTTGCTGGAGTGACAAGGATGACAACATGGAAGTCTGGCAGTACTATAACAAGAAGAAGTGGATCAAATCAGCCAGCAGAGACATAGTAGTACTAGGAAATAACAAAGAAGTGGTACTACTAGTACTAATACTGGTACTACTACTACTACTACTACTACTACTACTACTACTACTACTAGTACTAGTACTAGTACTAGTACTAGTACTAGTACTACTACTACTACTGCTGCTGCTATTATTGGTAGTAGTACCAAGCAAAGAAAGAAGAATAAAATAGTAACCTCAGCCAAGAAAACAAGAACAATGAGAAGAATTGCTGACCACCAGAAGGCACTTACTACTACCTACTAGTACTACTAGTAGTACTTGTTGAAACTTACTAGTTAGTACTAGTCTACCACAAGAACCTGTGTCCTTGTCCACTGTGGGAAGAACTTCTTGCCTTAATAGGCTTGGTACCACCAGTGTGGTTGGCACATGTTTGTTTCCTTCTTCACTGGTACATGTCATTTCTTGCCTTTTTGGCTTGGTAGTGCACATGACATGGTTCTCATCCATCCTAACTGTGAACCAACACCTTCTACTCTATCAGGAGCAACCTGCCTTCTTGTTGATTGGTGGCTTGTCAGTATGAAAAGGTACTACTGGAACCTGTTCACTCCTCCACAAAACATCTTTGGAGGGAGGCATCGACTCTCAGAGCAGCTGTTATATTTCTTCTCCCTAGTCAGGAGGACAAAAAGAAGTAATGGCTCTGGCCCACACTGTAGTGCTGGCCTCTTTGTCTACTAGTACTAGTAGTTCACCATGAGGAGGAGGTTAGACGTACTAATGCAAGATTTTTTCTTGTTGGAAGTTGCTACCTCCTCTGTTCCCAATATAATGTACCTATGACCCTTTTTTTCTGTTCCAAAGGATGAGTGTCCTTGAGTTAATTAACACTGCAGTTTTATTTAACCCCAAATTGAATATAACTGCATAGAACACGCGCAGAATCAGTACTACAAAGTGGAAATGAGCATGCGTGTGATTAAAAATTATTTTCACACATAAAATTACACATAATACTGGTCAGTACTATTAACACAGCAAATGAAATTTTGACAATGGTATGGTGCACCTCTTT